GTTCATCCTTCTCATGTCTGTCTCTATGTCCCGGCGTAATGTGTTCTTTGGTCTTACTCTTTTCCTTTGACCTTCAGGATTCCATGTGAGGGCTTGTCTTGTGACGCAGTTATGTGCTTTCCTCAATGTGTGTCCTATGCACTTTCAGCGCTTCTTCCTGATTTCTTCCTCCACTGGGATCTGGTTTGTTCTCTCCAACAGTACGTTGTTGCTAATAGTGTCCGGCCAATGGATCTGAAGTATTTTGCGTAGATAACTGTTAATAAACACCTGTATCTTCTAGATGATGGCTTTCGTAGTTCTCCAGGTTTCTGCCCCATACAGTAGAACTGTCTTGACATTTGTATTGAAAATCCTGACCTTGATGTTGGTTGACAGTTGCTTTGAGTTCCAGATGTTCCTCAGTTGTAAATATACTGCTCTTACTGGAATAAAAAGTTAGTAAAGTGTAAAACTAACCATTGAAATACACCTATACTGGGGTGTTAAAGTAATCATGTTAATTTAATTAAAATGAAAATAACTTTGTCTATTATAGTAGTTTATACATCCATTTAGATCTTATCATACTAGACAAGTTGATTGAAAGAAAGAATGATTAAAAGTAGAAATGTATACTGTACTACTGACTGTTTTTAGATGGGATTATACTAAGGGTCTTTTTTTCCTTCAATCTAAAGGAGAATGGTAGGAAAAGTTGACTGTAGTAAGAGGATAACTTACTTTATCTCATTCATTTTGTAGACAATTGTATTACGTTTAAAATTCTGGCCTAATACACAAAGATCTATTTATGTATGACTTGCTTCAAACAATTGTTTCCTTATAGGCAGAGATGGCTAGTGACTGGCAATGTAATTCAGGAAATGCGTTTCTTCTTATATAGGACTTGCCAACCGAATTTATCTGAGTCCCAGAGTTGATGTTTACTTCGGGACTCAATCTGCACAGGACACACTCATGCCAATAAGAGACTGATAATATGTAGTCCCTAAAATTAATGGTAAGATTCAAACAACTAATACAAATAATGAATAAAACTTCATCCGATTTATGCCCAGCTCTAAACTGATTTTAACTGACCGGTTTATATTGTGAACTATACTGTTTCCAACACTCAATAATTCAAATGAGATTAAACTTAGAATCTTTAAGTCTTTCGGTAAACACATTGTATCTTGACATGTAGTTAACTATGTTGGATCAGTATGTGGTGTAAGCGATTGAAATACAACAATCTGTAACACAACCTCCTTTACTGTGATTAGTGAGGCTCACCCATGCTCTATGTTATACGTTACTCCGTTAGGACAAATAATGATGGTTGTGCAATACCACAAATCGATTGAAGCTAGATATGTAAAATATTAGATGCCAATTTGTTAGTCTGGAAGTTAAACGCTCGTCATAAAACCAAAAGTTTTAGGTTTAATTCTCCGAGGAACACGCTGCTAAGAAATCTAGAATATACATTGCTGACATTAAGGATCAACTGAAGTAATCCTTTTAGGGTGTACATAATATCTAATAGAAGCCGACTGATTGCAATTCTGACTCATAACTTCAAGGAGGAAACGGCCGTCCAGTGCTTCCAAGTTTTTCATGATGGTCTAGCTTTAATTAATTCATCTATTGAATTACTACAATCTCCACAAAATCCTCCTTTTGATATTAACTGAAAACTATCTGCTTTTGACTGTCTCAACTACAGATAAGACTATTCGTGATCTATAATTTTAATTGTATAGTAATTGTATAGTATGAAGTGTTCGAATTTCTCCACATCTGGCTTATAGCTTCTCCTGTAGACCTCTATATGTGGTGAAATTCGAACACTTCACTTCTACTTGAAGTTTGTGTTGATAATATCGTTCAGAATAACAATAAGAGCTTCATGACAATATTATCCAGTACAGAGAATAAAACTCTATCATAAGCAATAATAGTGGTTTTGTGGATATTATATAGTGATTTCAATGGTCGAGATCATCATGAGTCAATTAAAGTTAGACCACCATAGAAAACCTGGAAGCAGTGGATGGTCATTGACTGCCGGCTGGCTTAGTGATCTAATGGTTAAGCACTCAAACGTGAAACTGATAGGTCCTAGGTTCGAATCTCGTGGGGCAGGATTACAGATGTGCACTGCTAAGGAGTTCCATATTTAGATAAAATGGTCGTCCAGTTATCTCTGATGATCTAGCTTCAATCGACTCATGATCTCAACCAATGAGATAGTGTTTTTATTATCCTTATCAAAGAAATAATGAATACCATCATAGGGGTTGTGGAGATTATTAAGTTTTTTATTAAGATCATGAACCGATTGATGTTAGGCCACCTTTGGAAACCTGGAAGCACTGGACATTGGTATAAGGAGGCACCGAATAGATATGCACCATATAAATCATTCGATTTATGTGAGTGCTTGAATACTGCCTAGGTGCCCAATCCGAAAGTGAGAAGCCGTGACCAGTGGAGCTAATCTATGTCGGGTAGAGACAGGTATGTACCTCAGTACAATTGAAATTGGTCGCGCAATTTCATGGGTCGGTTGATGTTAGACACCATCACCATTAGATGCTAGCTGAGTGGTTCAGTAAGTAAAGCGTTCGCGCGCGAGACCGAAGGCCCTATGTTCGAATTCCGCGAGCGGGATCGTGGATGCGCACTGCTGAGGAGTCCCACAATAAGACGAAACGGCCGTCCAGTGCTTCCAGGTTTCCAACGGTGGTCTAACATCAATCGGTTCATGATCTCAATAAAGAAAATGAATACCATTCATAAGAAACTTTATTTTGTCGATATGGTGTTTATTTAAACTTCTCTTTATAATTAACTAATTACTTGACTCTTATGAATTGCAATGGTGTTCTTTCACTTTTCTTCTTAATTTTTCCGATAGAAAAACAATTTGTTTTGCTAAAAGTAAACTTTACATTTAAACGTGTTCAGCTTTATGTGTGTGTGTGTGTGTGTGAGGGTATGACCAGCTGTGATAATACTATTAATATTATCTGTAAGTGATAGAAACAACAAAATTGTATTACTTGAACAGTTATAAAATGTCATGTTTTCGTGACTTACATCGATACAGAGAGGGAACAAGCGAGCTAGCGAGAGAGAGAGAGAGAGAGAGAGAGGGGAGTGAGAGTGAGAGAGTGAGCCAACAAAGAAAAGGATATTTATTGAATAAAGTCATAACTGAAAGTGAAGAACAACTTCTTAATCATATAAAACCATTGATGTGAGTACACACACACACAGATACACAAGGATAACGACAGCATCACGTACACATTGACAAATACAAAGTAATTAAGTTTTACGAAAAAAAAGACACCTTTTTGGACAAAGAGGACAGTACTTTTGTGAATTAAACAAGACAACAAAACAAGTTGGAATGGAACATAAGGGGGGGAATTATCTAGGAATTGATGGTGGGCACAATGGCATAGATATTACTACTAACTATGTGATGAGATATAACGGATAGTATTTTTCAAGGAAACCCTAATATACTACTTACATATATATATTATGCATATATGCAGTGCACTAGTACGATACTGATGTGTAATGTACACAGACTGGTTACCAGGTGATTACGCAGACGTAGCTCTATAACAATATCTTGAAAATAATTCTATCTAATGCAACATGCAATTTCTTTAACTTTATGTGTACTTCTAACACCACTCGTTTTTATCGCTTTACAGTTATATACTACTGACTACTGTTATATACTACTACTTAAAGGATTTAAACGTCCATACATGAATAGACATATTTGAATAGATTTTTAAGTAGACAACTTCAGAGGTTGTCCTCAACCTATTCAATGTTTAATAAATCTAGTGTATTCAGTAAATTTAGCTACACTCCTATTTACTCAGTGAGTGAGTGTTGCATCACTGTGGTGTTATTTTCTTCTCTTTTATTTTACATGTTGATGATATGTTGAAAAAGGGATATGAAAGTTTAATAACAAAGCCATCCAATTCTAACAATGTCAGTAGTTGAAATCATGAGTCAATTGAAGCTAGACCACCATGAAAAACCTGGAAGTACTGGACGGCCGTTTCGTCCTAGTGTGGGATTCTTCAGGAGTGAGAGCCCACGATCCCGCCTTCCCCAAGATTTGATCACAGATGCCTTAGAAATATTGCTCACATCTGCTGGTATCATCGGGTAAGCAAAAGTGAGGTTAGATGCAGGGTATTAGGGAACGATGGTAAATCAGTTGATGAGGTTGTGAATCTTCATCGACTGAGATGATTGGGCCACGTGTTACGTATGCCTGAACACCCATTACCACGACGCGCAATGCTGATTATTGTTGGAGACGGTTAGAAGGAACTTATGGGCGGCCAAACTGAAATGCGGCATCAGTTCACAAACTCACTATGTTCTAGTCTTAGTCGTGTTGGTAGATGTAGACTACTTGATTGGGGTCCGCGTGACTATCGCAACCAATGTTTGGAGATTCTGTGTGATATGACTCAGAATCGATCACAATGGTGTAAGTGTGTGCAATCTTTGTCTTCACTTAAACCGTGAGATTAAAATTACTTTATATCTTTCTTTCTATCAACTAGTTCTTCTTCCTGTATTATATCCTTGTATGTAAGCTTTCTTTTATATATTACCACTATTGATTTAACCACTCCTTTGAATCCGGTGTTCAACTTGCTGAGCTAATGATGTATGGCGACTTGGACCAATGCGTATATGTGCCTGGTCCCACACTGTAACTGACTGATTGACTGACTGAGTTTTTTCTCTTCCATGGCCGATTGTAAAACGAAGCTTATTGAAAGTATACGTACCTATAACTGAATAATATAATTGAAGAATATGACAACTATTATGATGGAGTTTTGTTCTCTGAGCTGAATAGTTTGATCGTGGAGTATTCATCATTCTTCTAAACAACATCATAATCACAATGATGAAAACCATAGTTATGTTGTACCCATTTCCCTTTTTCTTTGTTTTAGTTATCAACTACTTACACAAGGTGATGATACATTTGAATTGATTCAATTATCAAATGAATTAATCAATAATCTACCTTCATTAGTTCCATCTACCTCAATTAATAATGATAATAATCAACTAATCTATTCAAATTATAATAGTTTATCTTATAATAGACAAATGGAACATCCATTTACTTATCATCAATCGAATACATTATCACCAATAAATCAATTATTACCATATCAAAATCGACCAGAACAATTATATTTAAAAGTTATGAAACCATTAGATTGGGAAACTAAACGTAACTATCAATTTATATTAAATGCTGAAGATAATGGATCACCAGCATTTACAGGTGAAATGAGTTTGATGGTAAGTTCTTATTTATACAAAAAAGTGATCATCATCAAGTTCTTGTTATATTTCATGTAATCCTTGATATTGGTTTATAAGTCTATTGTATCAGTTCTTTGGAAACTGAGTTGGAAAATTTAGGAAAAGATGGATAGTGGCAAGCAGTGGAATCCAATTTGACGCGTATTTCGTCCTATTTGGGACTCGTCAGCTGACTGTACCTGTATCCCAAAGTTAATGTTCACTCCGCGACCCATCGCACAGGCAAGTGGCTATCAGTTCTCAGTAGCTAAGTGGGTAACGTTATGGTGTGTTGAAGCGAATGGTACTGGGTTTGAGACACGGAGTGAACATCAATTGTGGGATGCAGATGTATGTAGCTGACGAGTCCAAGATAGAACGAAACGCATATCCTGGATTTCGCTGCTAGCTACTATATATCTTTGCTTAAATAGTTTGTGACTTAAAGCTATATCAATTCAATCCACACAGGGTGCATATATGCTAACAACAGATTGATCAGTTGCAATCCTAAATAACAATCTAGAGATACAAGTAAAACAACACCAAGTGAATTTAAATGTAACCTCCTTAAAATTGTAAATAACTGACTTGTTAAAGAGTAAAGATTTTTGGGTTGATTAACTCATGAAACGTTTTAAGTGAATATTTACTAAATACACTCTCACAACAGACCTGGTTGAACTCCATTGGTCACAACTTCTTACTAGAACTCCAGGAAACGCATCTTGAAGTCAGTCACTAGTGAATAGATGATTATTATCAGAATCCACAAAACCCATTCTGATAAATAGATTCTTGTTAACATTTTGTATTGTTCTATGAATGTACTTGCGATCTCATTTTACAAGAAGATATAAGAGTGGGAGAAATTGTGAATAACATTACTTAGTTATTTTCAAGATTTTACATCTGGATCCCCTAAAATGTTTATAAAAACTTCATAATGTTTACTAATTATTATACTAATGGTCTCCAACTTTTAGCGAAATTCCATTACAAAACTAGTTGATAGATTAATCAAGTATAAACATAACACCTACTTGTGTTCACATACTATCTCAAGGTCAAGTGACATATGATACGGCCGAGAGTTAGTAGTGTCAGCTCTCCTTCTCGAAATGATCTCACATGGCCACGTGTATACAACTACTATCAATAAAGTCCTAATCACAACCTTTTCGTGGAGAGGGCGTTGTTTAAGAAATCAAGAGAAGGAAAAGCGAATTTCCAGCGTTTAACCAAGTTGGTGGATATAGAGGATCCACCTAGGGGAGTTGGAAAACCTTGATTCTAAACTAATGATGCACATAGGCTCCGGAATCCTGAAGGAACAAATGGCATATGAAGCAATTATTGGTCGACGACTACCATGAGACTGCATCTTCTGACGTTGCTCCACTACCTTGTGGATTAGATCTTTATGTCGAAGGCTTCGGGTGTGGTCCTCTAAAGAAACCACTTGATTCGGTTTGAGCACCTGGGCACTATCTCACCTCTCTATTTGGTACCTTCTTGCATCAATGTTTATGTGTCTAAATAAATGAATAAAATTGATATCTTATAAGTTGTATAGTTTATACATGAATCGAATGGTAAAGCTCAATACTAGGCATTTATGAATGCGTGATTTCTTCTATTAAATAATGTAATATCACTCAGATATTTACATCCTAATTTTAGATCATTGTCACTGATGAAAATGATAATCATCCTATATTTCGTAATAAAAGTTTAATGATTAGTGTACCAGAAAATTCACCTGAAGGTTTACATCTTATACAATTAATTGCTGATGATCCAGATGATGGAAAATCTGGTCAAATTATTTATAGTTTAATAAACAATGATGTCAACATTAAACCACCATCCTCATCCTCATCCTCATCATCATTATCATCGCTATCGAATAGTAATGATCATTCCAATCAACATCAATTACATAATAATACTCATACTACTAATAATAGTAATGAAATAAAGAAAAGCTTATTTGAAATTGATTCTAAAACTGGTTGGTTAATTATAAATGGACATTTAGATTATGAAATATCAAAACATCATCTTCTACGTGTTATAGCTCGTGATCAATCGAATCATCCAGGATTTGATGAAGCAATCATAAGTGTTTATATCACAGATATTAATGATATTGCACCACAGATTACAGTAGAATCAGTTAATCGTATTTCATCAAGTCAATCGATTACTGATAATCATCATAATCAATATAAGAATAATATATTACAATTGTATATCAATGAAACTCCTGGACATAATATAATGAATTATAAATTAGAAAATGAATATACTACTCATGATAATTTATTACCAACTATGATACAATTATTAGCTTTTGTAGTTGTAAATGATCCAGATACTGGTCCTGGTGGTACATTTCAATGTCATTTAGAATCAAATACAATAGATAACAATGATAATAATGATAAAGCATTTAGATCCAAGTTACATTATCCAACACAATATACATTGAATGAACAAAATCATTATTTGTCATTCATTCCAACTCCTAGTACTAGTACTATTCGTAGTAGTAGTACTACTGGTACTATAAGTCATAGTTCAATTGTTGGAATGTTTCAATTAAATCCAATATCTAATTTCAATTATGAATTAAATACAATTTATGGATTTGATTATGAATTTAGTAAAACAGAATCAGTAAAGGTAAGTTAAATGGTGTTGTTGTTGTTGTTGTTTATTTGTTTTAAATAGTGTTTTTCAAGGTTATTTATATGAGATGTGAAACGTTTACATGCGAGACTGATAGGTCATGGGTTCGAATCTTGTGAGGCGGAATCGTGGATGCGCACTACTGAGGAGGGCCATTTTATTTATTGATTTATTTATTTGAACACATAAATATTGGTACAAGAAGGCATCAAATATATATGCGCCACACTGTAGAATAATGAAACGTATTTGGTGGTAGCATATAATTTCCAACCAGGTAATGACTCGAGAACGTTTAGACAGAGTTGAGTTTCCACCATAGACGAGCTGTTGTATATGTCGGAAAATAAGGATACATAAAGTGGGAATAAAAGAGAGTGAGTAAATGACGTAGTAAGTAATAATAATAATAACGTGAATCGTTTGACTGTTAATCGAGGCAAATATAGTATTTTCCGTAAGTATTGTCATTTCATTCCGTTTGTGTGTGGGCTGTGATAATGCCCGAGTGCCCAGACCGAAGCAGGTGGTTTCCTTAGGAGGCCACACCCGGAGCCTTCGACCTAAAGGTCTAACCCACAAGACAGTGGAGCATCGTGAGGAGATGCAGTTCCATGGTAGCCGGTAACCAAAGATTGGTTCATACGCCATTTGTTCCTTCAGGATACTGGTGCCTATGTGCACCATTGGTTTGGGATCCGGTTAGAGCACCGGACATTCGCCTTTCGTCCTCTCATTTTCGTATACAACACCCCCGCCACGAAAAGGCAATGAGTAGGACTTCCCTGGCAGAGGCTGTATACACATGGCCGTGTGAGAGCATTTCGATGGGGAGGGCTCACCACACTCTCGACCATACCAGTGAATTTGGGGGCCATACTAAGACGAAATAGCTGTCTAGTGCTTCCAAGTCTTCCATGGTGGTGGTGGTCTAGCTTTAAATAACTCATGATCTCAACTATTGAACTCATTTATGTTGTTGTAGGTGAGACTATAAATTTATGTATGATCTTTAAGTGACGCTAGTGACCTTAAGAGTGTTTACGTAATAACTAGGACCAAATGAAGGGTACAAACCTTCCTTTCTAGTTCTATCCAATTCTTGTTGATCCTTCTCATGTCTGTCTCCATTTCTCGGTGTATTATGTTCTTTGGTCTTCCTCTTCACCTCCTTTAGCTTTGAGGATCCTCAGTGAGGGCATTAGAAGTTGATAATTTACATAATTAATTGTAGGTATACTCGGATAGGTCTTCCTCTGAACTTTTTGATGAATAGGATACGGATAGATTGTAAACAGACGAGAGAAAGCCTAGGGTAGAACTTGATTTAAAACACATTTAAAGGGCACCATATGTGTACAAAATTCAGTTAAACGAATGAATAGACAGTTTATAGTCAACAAATTACTATCAGCTTCCTATTCTGAGTAATGTTTGATAACTTAGGGAGGTATTAGCTTAAACTACAAGTTACTAGTCTATACAATTGAATTAAGATGATTCTGAATTCGAATTCAGCTAAATTATAATTATACTGCAATAATTCATCTTATCCTATACACACGAACAAACGCAGATAAACACAGCCAGTGTAGCAGCAGTGTCTTCATCAGTAGGCCCCAACATACACAAGAGGAACAACAAGGTCCTCAAATTCAAAGCGGATAAAACCAATCCAATCACTCTTGGTGGCGAAACTCTGGAAGAGGTAGAATCCTTTACACACCTGGGAAGCATCATACATGAACAAGGAGGTTCAGATGCAGACGTAAAGGCGAGGATTGGCAAAGGAAGGGCCGCATTCCTACAATTGAACAACATATGGAACTCAAAACAACTTTCAACCAATATCAAAGTCACAATTTTCAATAGAAACGTCAAAATAGTTCTATTGTATGGAGTTGAAACTTAAAGAACTACAACAACCACAATCAAGGAGGTACAAGTATTTATAAATAGCTGTCTACGCAAGATACTCAACATCCATTGGCCGGATACCATCAGCAACAGCCTACTGTAGAAGAAGACAAACCAACTTCCAGCTGGATAGGAAATTAAAAAATGACGTTGTAAGGGGATAGGACATACATTACGGAAATAATCAAACTGCATCACGATGCAAACCCTAACTTGGAATCCTGAAGGGAAGCGGAAAAGAGAAAGGCCAAAGAACACATTACGTCGGATAATAGAAGCAGATATGAAAAGGATGAATAACAATTGGAAAGAGCTGGAAAGGATTGCCCAGGACAGAGTTGGATGGCTAATGCTGGTGAGCAGCCTATGTTGCTTCACGAGGAGTAACAGGCGTAAGTAAGTAAGTAAGTAATAATTTAAAAACATAAAGGATGATGAAACTATTTCTGACTATAATGAAGTGCACACTATTTTAACTTCTCTCCATAAAGTTGTAGTTAGTTAATTGAAATTACAACATAGAAACTACTTACTTTGATTATGAGGAAAACTTTGAATAAGCCAATACAACCAGCTTTTCATCATGGTAACACTTATATAATTGTTATTTACCCTCTATTAATCATTAAAACTAACGAATATACTCATTATAACTAAGAGAAAGAGAGTCATTGAGAGATAAGTTAATCATTAAGTATTATGAACCAACAATATGTACAGGCTTCCATGAAATTGATCCTGAATAAAAGAACACGTTTTATCAATATTTAGTTTACCAACTAACTAACTAACTGACATGCTTAGCAACAAATACTTTTTTTTGTGCGTGAGCTAAATTGTCTAATAACGAAGTATATATCATTGAATAAATAATACACTTGTAAATAGAATGAACGTGGTTTCCTTCTCTAGTTACTAAGTTATTTTCCTACTCATTTAAATCAGTCATGAGAACGTTATTTCTTTAATATGTGAATATGATATTGATTAATATTGAATAAATTGGATCGATAAAAGCACACAAATAAATTTGAGCTGTACAATCGATCAATAAATATCTCCGATCCTCTTAATCAATCTACATCTGATAATGATATAGTAACACTAGAAAACAAGGTTTAATACACGAATGTAAATAAAAAATAATTTAATAGTTGAATTTATGAGTCAGTTAAAGCTAGATCATCATGGAAAAACTGAAAGTATTAGGTGGCCATTTCGTCCTAGTATAGGACTCCTCAGAAGTATGTATTCACGATCATGTATGCAGGACTCGAACCCAGGACTTTCGGTTTCGCGTCCAAAAGCTTAACCTCTGTACATCCAATTGTGTTAATATGTAACTTCAATCAATCAACTACTGAGGAGTTCCATACTAACACGTAACAGTCATCTAGTTCTTCCAGGTTTTCTATGGTGGTCTAGCTTTATTTGACTCATGAATTCAATTATTAAACTACTAAAATCTCCACAAAACCCCTTTCTAGTAAAAAATAATTGAACAAAATATAACTTCTTTCATACATTCGATAACCGGCTTAAACAAATAATGAAAATTTTATTCTTAATGCTTCACAACGATTCGGTCAACAAGAGAGTGATTTATCCAATAAATAAAAGAAACACATTTTTCAGACCATTACATTTAGCCTGTTTCTCCTCGTGGAGGAGCATAGACTTCTCACCAGCATTCTCCATCCAACCTTGTCCTGAGCAAACCTCTGCACCTCTCTCTCCCCAGTTGTTATTCATCCCGTAGAAGAAGAAAAGAACGTCAACCACATTAAACAAATTAAACCATTTAAACTCTACCCTTCGAGCTGAAGGAAGACTGTTGATACCTCAGGATGAAAGCCGAGGTTCTTTGGAAATTACAAAGCCGATGCCCCTTCTTGTAACCAGAGTAACGATTTTTACAAATACATGAAATATCTTTTCCAAACGAAGTAGTAGTATAAATTGACAAACATAAAATATTGAACCGTTGATTAACATTGAAAAAAAAATTTGGTTGATAATTAATTAAACCACATGTATAAATTTTAAGTCAAAATTCTTGTTGTCCTTGTTGTTGTTGTTGTCGTACCAAAATTTTTCTTTCATCCTTAATATTTGTTGCTATGCAATATCTCGATCTGTCACACACACACACACACACTCACCTACACATACAGCACACGCACACAGACACACACACAAATACAAGTGATCAATATTGTCGGAAATCTACAATTCACTTTCATTAAAAACAAAATCATGATATGTCCATACAAAAAAGTACATTCAATAAGATGAATTCAACTGATTCTATATGATTGTAGTAATTTGTAGAACCAAAAAAATGAAAAAAAAAACTGACACAGAGATGATATATATTCAATGTATAAACTGGAATATACTAGATATGGGATAGAAATTTATGTTGGATACAGTTGAATTGTTATGTATGTTGTTGTTGTTGTGGTGGTGGTTGTTGTTGTTGTTGTTGGTTTATATTATTGCGTAATCATATAAAATGTCGGTAATGTAAACGTAAATTACTACGAAAATGTAACGCTAAAAAAACTATTACACGTCATGGTTTTGTTTATTTATGAAAGTTTGATCAATTTCTTAAATAGCTAAGTAGATAATGCGATGTTGTTTGAAGCGAAACGAGACTGTGCTCGAGTCACAGAGTGAATATCAACTCTGAGATGTGAGTACATTATCCAGCTGATGAGTACCAAATAGGATGAAAAGCGCGTCTTAGATTCCACTGCTAGCCAATATTCATCATTACATATAATGTTCGTGAATTAAGACTATGTCTAGACAATACGCATAGTATGCATATATGCTAATATGAGACTGATCAATTGCAGTCCTAAACATCAATGTGAAGATTCAACCAAACAATTGCAAGTGAATTTGAGTAAGCGAGTATGTGTAGTTTTACAACATCGACCGATTTTAGTTAAAAAACCATAGAATGTAGAAAATTACTAGACAGTTGTGTCATCATAATATGAGACTCTTCCGTATTGTCTATCAACAAATTATAATCCAAGAACGTTTGTGTAATTCAATTTAATTGTTGAATTCATGAGTCGATTGAAGCTGGACCACCATGGAAAACCTGGACGGTGATGCAACTTCGTGGATTGGTTGAAGTAAGACATTAACGCGCGTTCACGCACGAGACTGATATATCCTAGGTCGTGGATGCACACTGATGAGGAGTCACACAATAGGACGAAACGGTCATCCAGTGATTCCAGGTTTTCGATGATGGTCTAACTTCAATTCACTCATGATCTCAACAATTAAATATCAACAAATACACCATATATCGAATACAAAATCTTCAGATTTCCTTAAAGTACTTTAACAAATAAACCCTATGAAATAACATCCAATCAATTCATATTGTCAAACATTCATAGATAACCAGACACAATTTCATTAACTCAAACTAGAACACACTGAAGGATCAAGATATTGAAATCATGTGAATTTGAACATATTTCATAGATCAATAATGAATGAAATAAATTAAATGGTTTGTTCATTTAGCCATGGTTACTACTTATCTCATATTTCTTGTTACCATCCAACCAATAGTCTGTGTTAGTAATTCATTAAATGTAACCCAGATTTACTTCATTACGTTATTTTTTTTAAAAAAAAGTTTCAAAATTGAATTGAACTCTTTCTGGTTAGCGTTTTTTTAGCGAGTTAGTTTACTACAGAATGGGGTTGCTAACCCAATACCCAACCCTTCGTTTTTTATCCGGACCTAACATCGGTAGTGGCCTAAGAGAGGCTCCAGATGGAGTTGTTTTGTTTCATTTACAATTTAATATTCTTTTTTCTCCACTCTTATCCTTTATAGACACAGTTTTCTTTTTCACTCATTCTGTTCTTCTGTTTGTTTTGTTTTCTCTCAATACATTCAATAGATTGTATGCAGTGATAATGGGATACCAAGTCTTACATCCAGTTATGTGATTAAAGTTATTGTACAAGATTTAAATGATAATCCACCAGTTTTTACAAAAGATTATCATAATGTAAGTTGCATTTTATTGTTAATCTGAATTAGTCACTATGTGAAGTTTTCTCTTGTTTATGTGTAAAACATATTTCTGGTTTCTAGTTATGTAATATAGGTATATATGTATATGTAAACAGTTTGAAATCAGTCCTAGACAGGATATTCATCAAATGTATTATTATAATGAATAGGGAATTACAGTTAGGGTTTTCATCAAGAAGTGATATCGTAGTGTACTACTTATATTGACATAAGTGTTGTATATATGTTAGTCAGGATTAGAATGTCTGACAGAAAAGAGTCCAAAAGGTCGGGGACGGAAAGAACGGGAACATATTCATATGGAAATGCAGGAACAATGACGTCTAAGATCATTGACTGATATTTACAAAAGAAGCAGACAATTTTGAGACAATTGATTGACAGTATTCACTGTATGATTCTTAGATTTTACTAAGATGTTCTGTAATGTCGTATTCGAACACATTCGACTGTTCCCATTTGTGATCTCGTTCAATCCAGTAACAATTATAATCCCGAAATGCTGTTTAAATATATGGATGGATAAATTTTGGTTCATAATCCAAGACTGGCCATCTTAAATCGGATTAGCTCGAATTATGTTTCTTTGAATGAACTGGTATGCATGATAATTAGTCTTCAAAGACAATATTAACATAGTTTCAAATACACTACTATTTATGAAACTGGAATTTCAAAGATGGATATTGTTGATGAAACACTTGAAAAGTAACTTCAGCGATTCCTCATTTGTAATCGTGATTTCATACAGTAATTATCTAATGGTTTTCCTATTCGAAATCCACTAGTTTGCTATGTAGTATGGCCCCCTGAATGCCCTGGTACGGCCGAGAGTGGGGAGAGTCCGCTCTCCCTCTCGAAATACTCTCACACGGCCACGCGTATATAGCCTCTGCCAGGGAAGTCCTACTCATTGCCTTCTCGTGGCGGGGGTGTTGTTTACGAAAATGAGAGGACGAATGGCGAATGTCCGGCGCTTTAACCGGATTCCAAACCAATGGTGCACATGGGCTCCAGTATCCTGCGGGAACGAATGGCGTATGAACCAATCGTTGGTCACCGGCTACCATGGGACTGCATCTCCTTACGATGCTCCACTGCCTTGTGGGTTAGACCTTTAGGTCAAAGGCTCGGGGAGTGGCCCCCTAAGATAACCACCTGCTTCGGTTTGGGCACCCGGGCAGTATCACAGCCCACACACAAATGATGAACTGTTTATGTCTATGGAAACTACTTTTGTCGCTTTGAAAAACAATCAATTGATTCAAATTATGATCACTACAATTATTGTCATTATTAATACTAATATTATTATTACTACTATTATTGTCATTATTGTTATTATTATCATTATTATTATTATTTTCCACATTATTCACCTTCTTTTATACTTATACAGCGGCTCGTCTTTGGTGGAATTCCGACTGTATCTAAACGTTCTCGAGTCACTGTCCGGTTGAAAATTGTATGTTACCACAGAATACGAGGACTGAAGCAGATTTTCTGAAACCACGTGCATCATTCAAACTGGCTGCCTTCAACGTTCGCACATTTATGCAGGTCGGACAACAGATAGGGCTGGCTATGTCTTTGGAAAGTCTTAATATCGACGTGTGTTGTCTATCCGAGACCCGTATTCAAGACTCTGGCGAAGTACTACAAATTCGATCTCCATCTGTCACTTCGAAAAGCTTGTTTTACGTGCGCTTATCCGGGGACCCTGTGGCATCTTCGTCTGGTTTTGCTGGCGTTGGTGTCGCACTAAGCGCTAGAGCTGAGGCAGCACTAGTCGATTGGATCCCCATTAACAGTCGGTTATGTGCTGTTAGATTAGAAAGTTCCATCAAAGTGAGAAGAAATCGGCGTGAGAAACGATGTCTTTTCGTCATCTCCGCCTATGCCCCGACAGATTGCAGCCCGGATGCAATCAAGGATGAGTTTTACCACCAGTTATCAGTTCTTCTCCAGAAAGTGCGTTCGACAGATATTGTAGTACTAGCCGGAGACTTGAATGCTCAGGTCGGGCGTCTAGGCACAGAAGAGAGTCGTTTAGGTGGCCGATGGGGACTCGTTGGTCGCAGGTCAGATAACGGGGACCGTCTACTGCAACTTTGCGCAGACCACAACCTGTTTCTGGCTAGCACTAACTTTCGGCACAGTCATCGCCGATGTGCCACCTGGCGTCCTCCCTCTGCATCTCAAGCCTGGACTCAGATTGATCACATCGCGATCAGCTACCGCTGGCGTGGTTGTGTACAAGACTGCCGCTCCTTTTGGAGTACCTATCTGGACTCTGACCATGCCTTGGTCTGCGCCAATCTTGCCTTACTTTTCAGTGGACAACGAAGTGAACGCCATCAACGGATTGATGTTAGCAAGCTGGTTGCAACTTCTGTTGCAAGTAAGTATCGAACCGAGCTAGCCTCTAGGCTAGCTACCACTCCACCGAAAAGTATAGATGAGCATTGGTTGCAATTGCATGACGCCATGAAAATGGCGGGAACAGTCAGTTGTGGGTTTGCGAAACGTCCCGCTTTTAAGCACTGGGTTTCTTCTGGTTCCTTACAACTCATTGAAGCCCGTCGGTCTACTCCGGGTAACCGTGAGTTTGGCCATAAACGAAGGATTTTACGTAAGGAAATCGGGCAAAGCTTGCGTAAGGACCGAGAAGCCTGGTGGTCGATGCGTGCTAATGAGCTGGAAGCAGCAGCTGCATCTGGTAACTACCGGAAGCTCTTCCAACTCATCCGAGCCACTGGCAGCAAGAAGTCTGGTGTGAGTGAAACAATCTGCGAGGATGATGGGATGCCAATCACTAACATCCATCGACGTCTTGGACGATGGGCAGAATTTTTCGAAGGGCAGTTCAACTGGCCTGCTGCTCCGGTAACATCGGTCAGACTGTCCTGCCCTCCATGGCCGGTGACGACTGATCCACCAAATGAGGAGGAAGTCCGCAAGGAACTCCAACTCTTGAAGCGTTACAAATCACCTGGCCCAGATGACTTACCTCCGGCTCTTTTTAAAGATGGTGGTGACTTTTTGACTAAGGAATTGACGACGTTGTTTACAAAGGTTTGGGAACTAGAGAGTGTACCAACGTCATGGAATGAGTCGATAGTTGTCCCTATCTTTAAAAAGGGTTCACGTCGTTCTTGTAACAACTATCGGGGGATAAGTTTACTTCCGATTGCGTCCAAGCTATTGGCTTCCGTCATTCTTCGTAGGTTGTTCAAAACCCGAGAAAGATTGACTCGCGAGGAGCAGGCTGGGTTTCGTTCTGGTCGAGGATGTATTGATCATATCTTCACCCTCCGCCAAATGTTAGAACACCGCCATACTTTTCAAAGGCCAACAATCGTAGTGTTTCTTGACATCAGGGCTGCCTTCGATTCGTTGGATAGGACTGTTCTCTGGGATTGTCTATTGAAGAAGGGTGTGCCTGAGAAGTTTATTAACATCCTAAAAGCCCTGTATAAAAACACCTCAGGCAGAGTGAGGGCATACAACCACCTCTCTCCATTGTTCCATTCGAGCAGTGGGGTTAGGCAGGGTTGCCCAATCTCACCATTCCTCTTCAACTTTGCCATCGATGACATTCTGGAAACAGCTCTGATGAATGTAAGTAATGGTGGTGTGGATCTGTTGCCTGGAGAAAGACTTCTCGACCTTGAGTATGCGGACGATATTGTCTTACTGTGCGATAATGCCCAAGGCATGCAATCCGCACTTAATCAGTTGGCAATCAATGTCCGTAGGTATGGTATGTGCTTTGCACCTTCGAAGTGCAAAGTACTTCTACAAGACTGGCAGGATTCTAATCCTGTACTCACCCTGGATGGTGAGCAGATAGACGTAGTTGAGAAGTTCGTGTATCTGGGTAGCTGCATAAGTGCTGGTGGGGGTGTGAGTGATGAGATCAATGCACGAATAGTGAAAGCCAGAGCGGCTTATGCCAATCTGGGCCACCTTTGGCGCCTTCGTGATGTTAGTCTGGCTGTAAAAGGCCGGATCTACAACGCGTCGGTGAGAGCAGTTTTGCTCTATGCTTGTGAAACCTGGCCTCTCCGAGTTGAGGACGTTAGACGACTCTCTGTGTTCGATCATCGCTGTCTCCGAAGGATTGCTGACATTCAGTGGCAACACCATGTCAGTAATGCAGAGGTTCGGCATCGTGTGTTCGGGCACAGAGATGATAACTCAATTGGTGTCACCATCTTGAAACACCGACTTCGGTGGCTTGGACATGTTCTCCGAATGTCGTCCCAGAGAATTCCACGTCGTGCATTATTTGCCGACTCTGGGACTGGTTGGAAGAAGCGGAGAGGTGGTCAGTGCATGACATGGTGTCGTGGCATGAAAGAAAGCTGCAAAGGACTGGCTTGTGTTGGTCCTTCACGACTCCCTGGCTGGGGTCCGAGAGATGGTGCTACACAGTGGCTAGAGACGTTATCAGATATGGCTCAGAATAGAAGCCAGTGGCGATCCTGCTGTAACCTTCTTTTACTTTCTTCATAAAAAGTGGTTGTGTCTCCTTTACCTGAAAGATTTCTTCTGATTGTACCTCTTCGTCATTACTCTCTTTTTCTTTTGCGTTCCTTAGTTTTTTTTTTCTCTTCGAATTCCCATTGTTTTGTGTGGCGCATATATATTGGCGCTCTCTTGTACCAATATTTATGTGTTCAAATAATAAATAAATATGTAGTATGAATTTGAATCTTCATGAGATTAGCTAAGTAAATAATAGTTACCTGCTTACTGATTACTGGTTAAAAGATGCCTTATTTGAAGTCACACACACACATTGTGAAGTAAATTATGATAGAAGTAATTCACTAGCTCAACAATCTCACACTTCATCAGAAATAAACTCATTTTACAGGTTAGATACCTCCAGGATACTGATTTGGTGGATAATTAATATTGTACTTAATATGAAAACTAAAGACAGTTATTCATGTGTGAAGTTGGCCTTAAACCGGTCGTGCACAGCCGGGGTCGACTTTTCTGACCACGTTCTTCCTTGTGAGAAGGTAGTATCGCTACAGATGCTGGTTGCCCGAAGGAAACACCTTACTGCTGTCACAGCCCTCTACGGTCAGCAGTACGACTACACCCTCAGACGTGGAATTGCTGCTTTTAGTTTTACCGTTCTCCAATCAAACTGCCTGGCATGGTTGAACCTACAGGAATATATGTTCAAGCCAATATAGCTCAGTTGAGTCATCACGATAGGCAAACCCAACCACCACTAAAAGGTAGCAGCTACGCTCTGGATACTCCTATATAGACAATTCATTTACGATAAAGCCTAAAGGCTATAAGTTCTATTCATATCACCGTTGTTGGCCTACACATCTAACTAATTCTGAACTCAAATGAAACAAAATGATCCTCTACTTCAAGTATATCATTGATTGCTTATCTGGAAATTTCATTACATACATGTTATCTGTATCATCTTATTAGAATTTCCCTGTATAATACAAAACATTTGACAAAAGCTCCAAATAAAATTGTAATTAATCAGTTAATTCCCTAGCTGTGTCAACTTTATTGCAAGCAGTTTTCATTTAATTTTAATTATTCCCTAAACTGTGTGGCTACCATGTTGTTTCCTAAATTAATCGGATTAAACTATTGTAGAACAGTAAAATAATCTTGTCAGATTCTTACTATGTATGATAATACAAGATTTTCCTTTTAAGCGATTAGGTTTCTTGATCTTTAACCAACAGTATTACGTTCATAGGTTGTCAGGGGTATATAACTTAATGTTACTTAATAATTTTGTAAGCAATGATGAATGTTGGTTAGCAGTGGAATACAGTTTGACGTACGTTTCGTCCTATTTGGGACTCATCAACTGGATATATCTGCATTTCAGAGTTGATGTTCATTCCAAGAATTGAATCCAGTGCTTTTTGCTTCTAGCAATTGGCTATAAGATCTCAGTAGCTAATTGAATAACGCAGTGGCGTTTCAAGCGAACAGCACTGGGTTCGAGCCCCAGGGTCCCAAATAGAACGAAACGCTTGTTCTGGATTCCACTGCTAACCACTATTCATCTTTGATTAAAAACCTTGTGACTTAAGCCAATATTGAGGCGACCCGCACAGGATGAACATATTCCAATAAGAGATGTGTCTTTCCATTGTTATTTAGGACTGAAATTGATCAAAGTGAAGCAACACCAGGTGAATAGATCAGTTTAGATATGACAAGATTTATTATGCAACTAATCATCTGTTGCTTAATTACTTCATTACTTCATTATGATATGGTTATATATAGACTTTTGTTTTACCTTATTAATATTCTAATAGTTTTTTGTTCAAGAGAATAGTCCAATCAATACATTGATTAATAAAGTAATTGCAACTGATGCAGACAGTGAAAAGAATGCTGAAATCAAATATCAACTTAGTCAAGATGGTGAAGAATACTTTACTATTAATCAATTAGATGGAACTATTTATACAAAAATAATATTCGATAGAGAATTAAAACAAAAGTATGTTATATTTCCAGTAATTCTATTTATTTAAGTCATTGAAGAAGCGTTTTTGAGTGAGATGATAATACATATGAACGACTTTTATGAGACTCTAAAGTGACCTTGAGAATATCCACCTACTTACTTAGTAACTTACGCCTGTTACTCCCAATGGTGCATAAGCCTCCGACCAGCATTCTCAAACATACTCTGTCCTCCATTTCTCGTTGTAATGTGTTCTTTGATCTTCTGCCTCTCCTTTGACCTTGAGGATTCTGTGTCAAGGCTTGCCTTGTGACACAGTTAGGTGCTTTCCTCAATATGTATCCTATCCACTTCCAACACTTCTTCCTGATTTCTTCCTCCATTGGGATCTGGTTTGCTCTCTCCCATAGTAGGTTGTTGCTGATAGTGTCTGGTCAACGGATCCGAGGTATTTTGTGTAAACAACTGTTAATAAACATTGTTATCTTCTGTATGATGGTTTTTGTAGTTTCCAAGTTTCCGCCTCATGCAATAGAACTGTCTTGACATTTATATTGAAAATCCTGACTTTGGTGTTGACTGACAAATAGTTGTTTTGATTCTTAGATGTTCTTCAATTGTAAATATGCTGCTACTGATTTACTGATCCACTCCTCTACATCTGGATCAGATCCATGGTGTTCGTCAATGATGCTGTCCAGATATGTAAATGTCTTTTACATGTTCCAATGTTTCTCCATCAAATGTGATTCGATTGTTGCATGTCATGTTGTATCGGAGAATCTTGCTATTCATCCACCTATTAATTAGAATTAAATGAGAGTTATAAATCAGTGTGAGGAATTAGAATTATGATTTACAGTTGATGGTTAAGAATTAGATTTATGGCTTTCGTCACGAATAGACATCGACTAAAATGCCCAAGACCTATTTAGCTAAATGGATGAGTGAATTACGCGCCATAATCCAAGACCTATTTTCTTGAATCTCATTGGTTTATCCATAAATTATAGTCTCGCCATTCGAATTTACTTATTCTGATAAAAACATACACAGTAATTATTGCAATGAGTTGTATCAATCATTATACTGACTAAATTGAATGTATCTATTACTTAGATACAGAGTATCAGGGAAATGATACAATTGATTCTCATTTATATTACATACCCATAGAGATCTAACGATAAGTGATTGCATTATGCTACGTTTCACTAAAGAATTCACACTTGAATCGATAAATCAACAAACTTTCTACAACAGACAAGTTTTTAATTTGTTCTTGAAGCTGGATGTCTATTGATCAACAATACTGTTGAAAATCTTTCCTGGTACTGTCAGTAAAGTGATGCCTCTGTAGTTTTCACATTTGCTCAGATCTGCTTTCTTTAGTATCTTGATGGGTTATCCTTCTTTCCAGTTCGTTGGTAATTGTTCTTCCTCCCAAATATTCCTGAATAAAATGTAAAGCATGCTTACAGTTACTTATATGTTTGACTTCAGAGCTTCAACTGGTATATTGTGAGGTTCTGTTGATTTCCCACTCTTGATTTGTCTGATGGACATTCTGAGTTCTTTGATCGTTAGTGGAATGACATCTATAGGACAGTCTGTGTGTGGTGCTTCGATGTGCAGAGGGTTCAGTTGGAGTGGTCTATTAAAGAGTTCTTCATAGTGTTCTTCCCCCCTCTGTTCTGAAAGTAGTGAATACAAGACATATATTGTACAGTGGAAACCGTATGTACAACTTAAGCCAACATCTTTCAAAATGCATAAATCAACTCCTATCCACTAAAAAGATATTCTGTCTTTTGAAATGTATTTATTGTGTAACTTCATATCAAATATTCATATTTGTGAATCATTATTACTCAATCAACTACATAAACAATACTATTCACTATCAATTTCCAATCCATTAGTTGGCCCTTCCAGTCAAACAAGTTGGTGAAACCTAGTAGGCCCTTCTGGAGAGAAACAGGCCACATCGAAGCACGGCACAACTACCGGGACTAGAATAGCTGGTTTTGCAGCTGGTTTGAGTTTGCCCCATAAGGAGCACACTTTTGTGAATTTTTTGTCGTTTTTCAATCCAAGAGTAATTGCACTGTGATTCTTTGTGGATTTCGCAATCGGTTTGAGTGTATCGATCGAGCGGATGAATAGCTCGATCTCTACCACCCAGGTTACCGCTCACATTAGTTCATGGGTCATCCGTCCCACTATCCAAAAGGCAATACACGGGTTTTGCCTCCCTCCAATCCATTAAAAAATATATTTAATGATAGTTAACAAAATAAATCAAAGCTTATTATGGATCTTAACTAAAATAAAGGCAGTCTGCTTGAATATCTGGGATACCTGTTCCTGACATTTAGATGCCTTTTGTTTATTTCAACTGATCATGAATTGCACAAACTATGCAGGTGTGTTTGTGCAAAGTTTTTAACATTTCTATGTACAAGTTAGGAAAGAGAACAATCAGCGACATCGTGGTCGCTGCCAATATGCATTGAAGAGAATCAATATTATTTAGATTCGATCTAACTGACGATCATTCGATATCTTATCGTTAGGATTGATCAAGAAATCTAGAAGTGGAAACTTGTTGAAATACTTTGTGCTAAGAATTCTATATTATACTGAATACTTTCAATATGTATATGTATATATATAATTGATGAGTCACAAGATGGACGTTAGGTACTTTGTAGTTTTTATCATTAATAATTAATAATCTAATTGCTAACGAACTTCAAATCATTAACACTAAAGACCACTACTCGATCTTAGACTGACATTGATAACCTGGAAGTATTGGATGGCCGATTCGTCTCAGTATGAGACTCCTCAACAGTGTGTATCCACAGTCCTTCGCATGGGATTTGAAACCAGGACTATTGGTCTCACGTGTGAACGTCTAAACTCTAGATCACTGAGCTGGCATCCAACGATGTTCATGTTTAGTGCTTCCCGGTTTTCAATGATGGTCTAACATCGATCGGTACATGACCTCAATTTAAAAATACTCAACAATCACCACAACTCTATACTGATAATTATCATGTGATCATTAGTGACTAGCTTGAAGATTGATTTCTTGGAGTTCTAGTAAGAAGCCATGACCAGTGGAGTTCAACCGTGTTTGATGTGAGACAATTAATCAATGAAGACAATGAAGGACGATCGCGAAATGTTGTGGAAAACCAATAATTGATTCATTTGCCATTTGCTACCTTAGGATCCTGAAGTTCATTTGCACCGTTGGTTTAGAATCAGGGTTTTCTAACTCCCCTTTGTGGAACCTCCAGATCCACAAACACGGTTAAAGTGCCGAACATTCGCTTCTCGTTATCAGCAAGGTAATATCCGCAATCCTGAGGGAACTAATTCTTTTCATGAAATTCATATTGTCATAATCGAATTATCAAACGATTTTCACTGATATCTTCTTTCATTTATTTTTTTTTGTTAAGTTATCGATTTCAAGTCTATGCCAATGATAATGGTCAACCGATTGCATTAACAGCAACCACTACAATTGAAGTGACTATTGTTGATGTTAATGATAATACACCAATGTTTGTCGGTTTAGATCGAGATAATTGTTATCATTTCCGTATAGCAGAAAATCAACCACCGAATACATATGTTGGTATGTTAAGAAGATTTGATATATATATATATGTTAATCTGGTTAGTGTTTTGTTTTAGCAAGTTAATTTTCTACGGGATGGTGTCGCTAACCCTATGCCTAACCCTCCTCCTTTATCCGGACTTGAAACCGATAGTAGCCCCAGAGTGACTCCAAGATGAGTTCATCTGTAATATCTATTTGAAAGATCTTTTGTGATTAGTTGTTGTTAAACACTTTGTTTATACAAGATTTCCTTTTGATTGTACCATAATGTAAACTGATAATGCAAAATGCAGTTACAATATATCACAAATTAGGTTCGATTTCATGTTGAAATGTTGAGTCGCCATCACTTAAGAGCTATTCATTGACATGGAAATTTTGTATCCAGCACTCTATTATTGATATTGGTTCTTTACTCAATACAATTTACATTTCTTGTTATTCACCATTCTCATTCTGAATAGGTAAATATCTAGAACCAATCTATTTGATATACCGACCTGAGTTTTATCATTGTATTATCAGACATCAGTAGGGTATGCTTTGTAAACTTAAAAAAAACGTTAATTGCGTGTGGTATGTAGATGTAAACCAAAATATCTTAGCTACGATCTAGTTGCCAATAAATGAATGTTGTACATATCTGTGTTGCTATCAGATGGGGGTTTTGTGGAGATTTTAGTCATTTTATAGTTGATATCATGAGTCAATTAGAGCTAGACCACCATGGAAAACCTGTAAGCACTGGATGGGCGTTTCGTCGTACTACGGGACTCCTCAGCAGTACACATCCACGATCTGACCCCGTGAGATTCAATTATCTTATTTTTTAAAAATTGTATCACATTCTTGGTTCAATAGAAAACTTGATTCGTTTTTCTGATTGAATTCATACACTCATTTATTCATCTTCAACTGTATACTCACCTAATGAATTTGAGTTGGTTTACTTCACTGAATATCATTTTTTGCAAAAAAATATCTATCATCCATAGGTTAACGCTTTCAATGATTACTTACTTACTTACTTACTTACTTACTTACTTACTTACTTACTTACTTACTTACTTACTTACTTACTTACTTACTTACTTACTTACTTACTTACTTACTTACTTACTTACTTACTTACTTACTTACTTACTTACTTACTTACTTACTTACTTACTTACTTACTTACTTACTTACTTACTTACTTACTTACTTACTTACTTACTTACTTACTTACTTACTTACTTACTTACTTACTTACTTACTTACTTACTTACTTACTTACTTACTTACTTACTTACTTACTTACTTACTTACTTACTTACTTACTTACTTACTTACTTACTTACTTACTTACTTACTTACTTACTTACTTACTTACTTACTTACTTACTTACTTACTTACTTACTTACTTACTTACTTACTTACTTACTTACTTACTTACTTACTTACTTACTTACTTACTTACTTACTTACTTACTTACTTACTTACTTACTTACTTACTTACTTACTTACTTACTTACTTACTTACTTACTTACTTACTTACTTACTTACTTACTTACTTACTTACTTACTTACTTACTTACTTACTTACTTACTTACTTACTTACTTACTTACTTACTTACTTACTTACTTACTTACTTACTTACTTACTTACTTACTTACTTACTTACTTACTTACTTACTTACTTACTTACTTACTTACTTACTTACTTACTTACTTACTTACTTACTTACTTACTTACTTACTTACTTACTTACTTACCTACTTACTTACTTACTTACTTACGCCTGCTACACCTGATGTAGGAGCATAGGCCACTTATCACCATTCTCTATCCAACTCTATCTTGTACAATTCTTTTCCAGTTTTATATATGTCTTACATAGTTTAACACTTCCAATGATTACTTACTTCATTCTTTACGTCTGTTACCTCTCATGGAGGAGCATAGGCTACTTATCATCATTCTCTATCCAACTCTATCCTGAACAATTATTTTCCACTTGTTTCCAATCGCTATTCATTTAAATTTAACAACAAATTGTTTCTAAGTTTTCCGAATAAATTTTTTTTATTTCTTTTACGTAACCACTAGATTCTGGTTCATTTTAAATGACATCGAGTGTTATAGTTAATGACAAGTGATATCACAAAATGTTACAATTTTAAATTCACATGGTGTTGTTTTACTTATATCCTTCCATTGTTGAGTTAGGACTGAAATTGATCAGTCTCTTGTTGGCATATGTGCATACTGTATAGATTGTCTCATTATAGTCTTAAGTCACAAATTTTTTAATCAAAGATGGATAGTGGTCAGCAGTGGAATCCAGTTTGACGCGCGTTTCGTTCTATTTGGGACTCGTCAGCCGGATATACATGCATCTCAGAGTTAGTGTTCACTCTGGGGCTCGAATCCAGTACTGTTCGATTGAAACACCATCTCGTTCTCCATTTAGTTACTGAGTCCTGATAGCCACTTGCTTTTACAATGGGGTGAAGTTTATATTCTCTAGGTGTTGTTTGCTTATATCTTCCAATCGTTGTTTAGGACCGATCAGTCTCTTATTGGTATATGTACATCTTGTGCGGATTGCCTCGATACAGTTTTATGTATGTTCATTAAAAATCATGTAAAAGGTTTACTTTTTATTTAGATAATTGAGTTTCGTCATTTTTTTTACCTGAGTTTGTTTTTTACAGATGAGTTTAGTATTAGGCTTGTAAAAATAAACAATGGATCTGGATGACAGTATTAGTTTCAATGATTTGTAGTAGATGATGTGGTGTGTGCTATTGATATTGACAGATATAAGTAGTATGTAACATCAATCAAAAGTGAAATGTTTGGTGGAAGAAAGTTAACAAGATCAAAGAAAAAAGAAGGAGAACAAAGAGTGATTGATGCGAAACCAGAGGAACAATGAATTCTGAGCCGCTTGATTGACACTTTGCAAATGAAGTATTTACTGAATATTTCTCAGATTTTACTATTTATTTAAACACATAAACATTGGTACAAGGAGGCACCAAATAAATATGCGCCACATAAATCACATAAATCCGGATGCCCAAACCGAAGCAGGTGGTTTCCATAGAGGGCCATACTCTTAGCCTTCGACATAGAAGTACAATCCACAAGGCAGAGAAGCAACTTCAGGAAATGTAGTCCCATGGTAGCCGGTGACCAACGATTGGTTCATACGCGATTTGTTCTTTCAGGATACTGAAGCCCATGTGTACCCTTAGTTTGTAATCAGGGTTTTTCAATTGCCTTAGGTGGACTCTTCGTGTCCACCAACCCGGCTAGATGCTGGACATTCGCATTTTGTCCCCTCAATTTCGTAAACAACACTTCCGCCGCAATGGGTAGGACTTCCCTGGCAGCGATTGTATGCAAATTTGACTAAGTCATTTTGTAATTTTGTATTCAAATACATTCGATTGTTCCCACTTGTGTTCTCGTTCACAATAATGGTAGTGAAGAACTGTTGTGAACTGGTGCAAAGTATTTTAGTGAGTTATCTTCAAAATAAGGTTTATGAATCAATTCAATACGCCACATTTCATATTCAAACACTGTGGATAAAAACATTCGCACGAATTCTAACTAGACTTTCTAGTCAGAGATCGTACCCGAGACGTTCAGATCTATTGATATAGCTCAAATTAATAATCAGTGACTTTATGTACAGAATATATATCTCGCGAGACGTGATCGTGGATGCGCACTACTGTAAAGTCCCATACTAGGACGAAACCACCATCCAGTGGTTCCAGGTTTTTTATGGTGGTCTAGCTTCAACTAATAAATTACTATAATATCCAAAAAACACCTCTCTGATCAGAATATATATGCTTCTTCAGCAGCCTTTTTTAAGAAATATAATAAGTCTAGGAAAACTATAGTTAAACATTCATAGCTCACGTTCAGAGCCCTGAAGAATGAAAACACTTATGTTAATACCGCTAATTTTAAATCACCCTGTGTTTCTCAATCAAGGACTTCATTTAGGACATATATATATCAGAAGAGGTTTTGTGGATATTATAGTAATTTTAATAGCTGAATTCATGAATCATTTGAAGCTAGACCACCACCATAGAAAACCTCAAAGCACTGGATGGACGTTTCATCCTAATATGGGACTCCACAGTAGTGCACATTCACAATCCCACCTCGCGAGATTCAAACCTGGAACTTATCAGTCTCGCTCACAAACGCTTAACCTGTAGACTACTGAATTGGTATTTAACTTCAACTAATTCATTTTTATACTATTTAAAACAAAAGAGATAGCAATTTATTGAGTTGATTACATAACTAAGTCTAATTACCTGGTTGGGGACCACGAGATGATAGCAACCGATGATTAGAGACCCTGAATGACATGGCTCAAAATCGTTTGCAATGGCGCAAGTGCATTCATTCTTTGTGTTCTCCCAAATTCTAATCTTCTGAATTCTTCATGTCCCGTTTTTCCTCTGGATTATACTCTTTAAGTAACATCTCCAAACCCTAATCTTCCCGATTACTGCTTATACTCTTGCTACCTCTACCACTACGGGATTTGAATCGACCACTGCATCTCTGTGCTAATGTGGTGTGGCAACTTGAACTGATGTACGTACTTACGAAGTTCTACGTTGTTACTGACTGAATTACATCTCACTATTATTGTAATTTATTATTATGTAATACTATCTAAACTAAACTTCCTTCATTTTTTGATTCAAAATCACTTGTAAGTATATAATATCTATCACTGAGTATACATTTTTGGCTCCATATCATAATAGGAGACAATAGTTACAGCCAAACTAATATAAATTATACATTTCAACCACCAATCTCTTATTAACTAATGAAATTACAATAAATAATAGTAGAAAAAAAGAAAAGAAAAGAAAAGAGAAAAAGAAAAGAAAGAAAGAATCAGTTATTTTTTCCTGTATTGATTTAAGTAGTAGCTTTAACTTCTATGTATCAAATTAATATGAGGTAAATAAAGAAAA